CCAAATTGGAAACATGCAGAGAGCAACATTTCTTCTTCCCAGCTGCCAGAGAAGGATGTTTCTTCAATCAGGACTTGGACTTTCCTTCACCCCACCTCTGCCCCCAAAATCCCATCCCAAAAGCAGGGAGGGGAAAGGACTAATGAGCTGCTGATAGCCGGAGAGCAGATCGCAGAGGCTCCACTCCGTCTGCCCAGTGTTCAGACTACCTGTTCAGGACTACGAGATTGTACAGTAGTCTGCACATTGGTTAGGCTGTGCTGGGATACACCACACACTGCCAGTGCTGCACGGGGACGGCAACACCTGCACGGCAGAGGGACATGCTTGGAGAGGGTGGGCTGCGGGGATAGCTGCATGCAAAGTTCACTCATCCCTCAGCCTGGGAGGATATAACCCTTTGGAGCCATGCTTGATGATCACTTTTACCTGCCTGTTCACCAACAACTTATAACCCTCTTTTACCTCCTCCATCTCTCTCATCCCCTACTTATTTCTTTCAGCTTCACGCACTTGTCCCAGGGGTAACTGTGTTCAGGATGGCTTGTGTTTCACATGCTGAACTTTGCCATAAAATGCAGAGATAGACACACAGGCCTGGCAGGGTTACAACTGCACTGTGCTTTGCTACCTAAAGCAGGATCAAGCACAGAAAGGTGACTGGAGAGAAAGGGGATTTCACATGGTAAAGAATGTTGGTCATTAATATAAAGAAAAACCCACAAAGAATTGAAAGTTGGAGGTTTGGATGCTCTGGAAGATGTGTTTGTTTTGATGTTTGTCTGGAAAAGAAAGAAGAGAAACAGTGAGTGAAAGCATAAATGAGAACTGATTAAGACTAAGATATCACCCATGAGAAAACATGCACTTGTGAAAAAAGATGAGTGAATGAATGAAAGACCTCCACAGAGGATGTAAGGAGAAGGAACAGGTTCCAGAAAGCACCTGAGAGCAGTGTGAAAGCAGGAGAGGAACAACCTCCAAGCAGACCTACTCCTGTGGTCTATAAACAAGCTGGATGCAAAAACCTGGCTGCAGCCAGACCCATCACAGCAAGTTTCTGATGGCTCATGGGCATCAGAACAAAGACAAAAGGATTTCTACCAGCTGAGCTGGGCCTCAAGGACACAGACTGGGGGGGGGGGGGGGGGGGGGGGGGGGGGGGGGGGGGGGGGGGGGGCAGGGGGAGTGCATGTGTGTGCAGTGGGGGAATAATCTCAGTATTGATCAATGTATATATTTTTAAACTAGAATTGGGTACAAGGCATTGACAGGTACAGAAGCAGCAGCTATCTAGTGACTGTCAATAAGGTCACATCTTCCTCAGGACAGGAGAGAATACTTTTGTAATTCAAGCAAAAGAGAAGGCATGAAGACAGAGAAGAGAGCTCAAGCACAGCTGATTAGCAGGAATCAACATGATGCATAAAGAGTATGAAGCACCCCCCACACACCTGCAAGTACCTAAAACTCAGCACCCAACCCTCTTGTACACACAGGACTCAAATGCACTAACACCGCATGCAACACATGAATACTTTCACACAAGCAAATAAGGCCATAGTCTTCTCATGTACTCACCTGTTCTTACAAGCCCCAAATTTCTAGTACATGATTTACCTGAGTAAGGACAGAAGGTCCCATCTGTATTGTACATTCACACAAATTCCCAAAGGAAACAGCAGATATATCCATCTACCCAGCTGTGCAAACACTCCGGTACACGGTGGCACATAGTCACAGGCACTCCAGCAGAAACAGTCACCCTCGCAAAGCAGAATGCACAAGGGTCCCCTCCAGCAGGCAGTAAGCTTTGCTAATAGGACCGACTGAGCACAGTGCTCATTGCATCTTGCCTACAAGGTCCCCATCACCAGCAGCTCTAGCTCAGCTCACAGACCGTCTTTTCCAGCAGGCGGGAAAGCCCTGCACAGAAGTGGGCACTGTGCATTTCATAAGGGATTCAAGGCAGAAGGACTAATCGAATCAAATTCTTGTATCGTGTCCACTATGGTGCTTGCTGAGCAGCTAGCCAGTGTGCTGTGGTGCTGTGCTGCTGCTCCAGCCCTGGGGACACTGTGGCCTCCCTGAGCAAGGAAATCTTGCTCTATATTGCCAGCAGCCAGAGCAGGCTCCTCCCCACCTCTCCCACCCCACTGCTGGTCTGCGGCATAATCCCACAAGGTTCAGGAGGTGCAGGTACCTCAAGGAGGGTCTCCAGGTCTTGGGAGGCCAGCTTTTTGTGGGGCCGCTCTCCATGGGGTCAGTGTTTGACTCATTGAAAGGAGACAGGAAGAAAAACAGAGAGCCCAGGAGCACACACACATGCTCTTGGCAGCAAGGCATAGTGGGGAGCCAACTTTCCACCCCCGCCTGGCCCGGTCTTTCCTTCCCCTCCCATTCCCCAGCACACTCCTTCAGGCCCCTCCAGAGCATCAACAGCCATATATCCCTGCTAACATGTAATGCTGGGCCCTTTAAGACATTTTAAGTTTCAGTTCCTTTCTTCAGAGGCAGAGGAAAAACAAGCCAGCGCTGCGGAAAGACTGGTATTTCACTAATGGGGTCCAGATGTCTTCGTTCCGCAGACTCTGGATCCTGGCTTGCAAAACAGGGCAGGGAGAGGCTGTGCCCCTACTCCTGCCAGCTCCAGAGGTGCTATCCTAGCCCTCTCCCTCACCCCACCGCACACCTTCTCACCCCGCTCCTTCCCCTACTATCACCCACAGCTCTGCCACCAGCACTTTCACCCACACAAGACAGACCCAGCTCCCACCTCCCTCCCTCTGGAAAGCTGCCAGAGCACAGGGGAACTGGGACAAGAGGGCCTGCAGAAGCGCAGGGTGGGGCAGACAAAGCCTCCCCCTTCCTCCCAGACCTTAAGTGAGGAAAGATCATGGTGTACAGCCTTTGAAAAACACATGAGAACTTTCCAGGAGCTGTAGAGAACACAAGTTCTCCTGAATTGGTGGAGGAGGAGAGCTCTGGGACAGACATGCAAAGATAACCCTGTCTGACAGAGGACCATGCACTGCTTTGGGATGGAGCCAGCTCCATGCAGAACTGAGGTTTGGGACAGGAATCCCCATGCTCAGGGCTTTCTAAGCTGCCCCTCAAATGCACCAACTCTTAGCCTGACTCAACTATGGAGTCCAGGTGGACATTGCTTCCTTTCTCCATCACAACAGCCAGTTATCAAGGAGTTGAACTTGGGGAGGAATCAAATAAAAACATGCTTCCCTTTTCTCCCCTGCTCCCACTCAGTTGAAGACAAAGGCTCCTTTTTTTGGAGGCAGCTCAGACCTCATCAGCACTGGATCTCATGTGTTTAAGGGACCAAGGCTGGCAGGGAAGTCTTTTCATTAGGCAGCTCTACCTCTGCTATGCAGAAGGTCCATGCAGACCTCCAGCTGCTATGGACTTCCAAGGCTGCCCTCCTTGGAGGGAAGGGAGGTCCAATCCCCATCCCAGGCAACTGGAATCTATCAACAGTTTACACATCCGCACTGCAGCCCTCCCTCCCACTCCCCGGGGAAGAACAGGGAGTTCTGATCATCTCTGTAGTACAGATGTAGCAGCTGGCTTTGATTAAACTACTTGGTGTTTACAGCCACTCAACCTGCATATGCAACCTAGAGGAAAGTGAAGCCTCCCCAAGCAACTCTGAATACAAAGGGCAGGGGTCTTATAGCAGAGACACACTGATTTAGCAAAAGACATTCCAATGCCTGGTGCTTTAATTAGGAAATTCCTGCCTGCTCATCCATAGCAGCACAGCAGCAGTCTCCATGCAGAAAGCAATATTTAGAGGCTGATTCATCACCATATTTGTCATCATTTCCACCTGCTGAGAATGAAACAGGCCCACTGATACCAACTAGACAAGAAGCCAGGCCTAGCTACAGCTCCCAGGCACACTATTGTGTGCCTCAGAACACCTGAGGGACACAAACCACAATAAGAGGCAGAGCAGTTTCTTTATTTGCAATCAGAAACCCCAATCAACTCAGAATGCATGACTACATCACACCAGGCATTTTTCATCCCTCAGCACACTGAGTGGGGCTAACCCTTTCAATCATGTCCTTACCAAAACCATCTAGCTATTCTTTCTCTTTTCAAAGTAATCAGAAAAGACAATTATCTACCTTTGTCTTGCACAGGAAGCAACAGACTGTTGACAATGATAATTTCAGCTGGGACAATTCTGTCCACTTATATCATTTCCCACTGAAACAGAAAGACACCATAGCACATTGCTAGAATTCCTAATAGTCAAGACTTTCAAGCAACTCTACAGAGTAGGTCCACGTTCCTATCAGTGATATTCCACACATAACTGTACTTTTGATCAGCAGTACTCTAACCATTCACAATTCAAACAGTTTTACAGATAATGGATTAACTGGCATGTTCAATATAGAAACATTAAAAAAAAAAAGACATTCCTGCTTTGCAGGTTTAACAACTGAATCCTGAAGAGGTTAAATAATTTACTCAAAGTCAGAAGGAGCCAGCACCTGAGCTGCTGCTTCGGGTCCAGAGCTCCTGTTGCTACGCCCAGAAAGGAGATAGCTTTTTTCTTGTGACCAGGAGAGATGCATGAAAACCTCTGCCATACTCCTTCAGGAAACTCATCATGGCTGCCCCACAAATACCAGAAAGTCCAAATCTTGGAACTGACCCATCACACCCTTGATCACAGCTGCCATAGCAAGACAAATAAACATCAAATTCATTCCAAGTGTCTGTCAACTTTCTGCTGAGCCAGAGCTTCAAGCATAGATGTTACTCCTTGTGCGTCAAAAAAAGCCACGTTCACATCAATTCAGAAATGCTCAGCAATGCTGAGACCACAGGGAACCCAGCCCAAGGATAGTTTCAGCTTGTGTCACAAGCTACAGACAATATTCAGAAGATACATCTGTAACACCCACAGAACTGAAGGCCTTATCCTCATCAGATGTCCAAGACTCAAGTCGCAGAATTGAGCTACTCACCTCATCATCCTTGTACCAGGAGAGGTTCTCCGCTGTCAGGACAAACCAATACTCCTTGGAGCCACCCTTCATGATCCCAATGTTATTGATGGTGAGCCAGCCCTTTCGGATGACCTAAGGGGGTAGAAGCAATGAGCGTTAACAAGGGCCCTAAAATCCTGGCCTTAGGCGACAGAGAAAAGATCAGAGGGTATCCCTACACACAGAGTAGTATGGAAAGACAAGGAACACCGTGCTCTCTGCTGCTGCCAGAAGAGCCCCCCACTCAACTGGCCAGTGAAGGTCTTTGCCTCGAAAGGGCCAGGAATAGTATAAAAAGGACGCAGGAAGGAACCTGGCAGTGCTGTGCATTATACCCTCTGCCAAGAGGAAAGAGATGCAGGAAGAACTGCACCAAGAGCACCTTGGACACTGGCACAACCTACAAGCACCAGATCACAGCAACACACCCAGGAAAGGCCATGCCTAGAGGAAACCAGGACACCAGCACACCTTTCAGCACACTGCATGTGTGGAGTGCTTCACCCAACTCAGGGGTGGGGGGAACCAGTTCAAGAACAAGAGACGGGCAAGCAACCCAGAAAGGACTGAGTTCAGTAAAAAGGAGACACTAAGTATAACAGAACAAAATGGTGCATCTGGAATTAGTACCCTGGACTTCAGCATACCCAGGTATTTGAGTAGTCATATTAATTTAGGGCAAAACAAGTTCCTTTAAGATTAGTCTGTAAAGAAGCCAGGCTATTTACTCTCCAGGGAACTCCAATTCACCAAGTGCTGGTTTAGAGCCTCACACATGCAGTAATCAAAATGCAAGTATGCATCAGCTTAAATGCATCAGCTTTTATATGTGTTACTGCACTGTTAACACCCAAAAACATCTGCATGCATTATGTGTGTGTACCTTGTTGTATGGATGTGCTTGCTGACAATGACCTGGCATTGAAAAACCATGTGACTGCACTGCATATTAGCAAGTTGCACTGTGTGAGCAGCCTACCACAGAAGTACACAATCCTTTCAATTGTAAATTTACCTTATAAAAGTAAACATAGGAGCATTGGATCTTCATCTCATGCCTACTGTTAAGCTCGAGATAGTCCTATTCTCTCTGTGGACAGGAGGGGGCAGTGAAACAGAACCACACATCCTTGGATTACTGCTTTTTATCTCCACCCACTCACAAGATGTACCAGCAGTTCTTAATTTTTCCTCAACATACTACCTTTTCACCTCATTTCTGCTTCACCTGTGTCTAGCGCCAGCTGCCCTCCTCTCCCCATTCAGCAGCAGAGGGAATAATTTGTTTATGCACTGTTCTTGCCTTCCCAGATGCAACATTAATGTTCATTAGCACACCCTGCTGAGTGGCCTTCTACTCACCAGGATCTCATCCTGCAAAGGGGAACCATAGCAACAGCAGCAGAGCAGAGAGCAGGAGAGGAGCAAAGAGAGGAGAGATTGTTACTAGGAAAGCTGGAGCAGGAGAAGAGAGGCTCAAAAATAAAATAAATTGGAAGCTGGTACCAAATCTTTTACCCCAGGTGTTAACAAGAGCAACCCCCATCCCAAAACAAAGTCTGCTAATGGGAGAGCCAAAGCACTTCACAGGTAGATCCAGAGTTTGCCCTTTACACTCTCAAACTCAGCTCTTCTGTAAGGTATACTGCAGAGGATGGGGTTCCCTACAACTGTTCTGAGATACCATGAAACAGATGGTTGGCCAACCCAACCTGCTGACCTACCTGCCTGTCAACAGTACTGAAACAGTCTGCATGTTTATGTGCAGGGAAAGGTGGTCAAACACTTTATAAAGAGGATGGATGTCAGGAGTGAATGTCTTTAAAAAGACTAAACAAAAGCATTTGCTTCCATTCTCTATGAAGCTGCTCGTAAGGCTTTGTTTCTACAAGATCTTCTAGCCTAGATAGCCTTGCCATGTACCTAGCAAGCCTGGGAGAAAGTGTCATTAGCCCCTTTTTAATTGTGTGTACACTCCTTACAGTTCCTGAAGGAATAAGGGAACTCTTCCCTTCCACTGCTGTCCTCTCCAATGGGTGTGTTCTCATACATACCCAGTGCAACCATGGCTGTAATCACCTTTTGTCTCCCTGTACAGAGGTTTAAGTATTTCCAGTGAAGTTTTCCAGAAGAGAGTCCATGAACTCTCTTGAAATCCCTTTTCAGAAAGTAGATACCACTGATGGGAAAGACAACTAGAAAAGACAATTCTATACTGTAACAGTTCAGTCCTAGTGTTCTGTACCCCTCACCTCAGCAGAAAAGTTAGCACAGCTAGTGAAGGGGTTGAACAAACAGGGATTTACACAACATTAATTGGGATTTCTACCAGAAAAGCAAGACCAGATCTTGATTATGAAGCATCCATTTCCCTCTACAACACTTTCCCTCCATTGCTGCTACATGCTCAGTTATTCCTGACTGCAGTGAGCCTAAAACACTATCCTCCAGGTGTAAAAGAGTTTGAAGAGTTAAAAAAACAAAACAAAAATCCAAACTTAGAGCACTGCTGCATCCAGCCCAGCACTTGACCACCTGGTAGCTTCCAGGTAGCAAACATGTCCTTCTTGCAGCAGTGAAGGAGATGGAACTTGGCCTACCTGGTTGCCAGCTGCCTTCTTCTTGCTCATCTGGCTGCTCCTCTGCTGAGCACTGCAAACAACAGCAGAGACATTCAAAACCCCTCAGGCTCTTCTTGATCACCTAAATCCTGCTCCCATCAGATAGCTGCTACAGTGAGTTCACGCCCCTCACCACAGGCTTCCAAAGCCTTAATAACCCAATCTATTTCCATCTGCTTTCTCAGCCTGGTCTACTCATCTCACTCCCACCTGAACCATACTTGGGTCACTAGCCCTCCACAGCTGCTTCTTCCCCCGCAACACAACCCTAATACTTAACTCCCCCTTCTACACATCCCTATTCTCCTCCCCGGCCTTGCAATACAGAGCCACTGAAAAACAAGCAGTACAGAGAGCTGAACCATACTTTGGGACCACAGCATCTGCACCAGGGCCTTTGCAACCCATTTGCCGGAGCAGCTATAGGACAGAGCCACAGGAAACACATGCAGAGAAGAGGAGGCAATAGGATGTGGGTGCTTACTTGGCAAAGCCAATGAAATCCTCATGGTTTGTGTTCATGTAAGCCAGCTCGATGTCTATTAGAAGCATGACCTGCCAAACAGAGGCACAGAGAGAGCAAGACAGACGTTAGTGATTGACAATGTTAAGTCAGGGGCAGACAGCCCTGTACATTGTTCATCTGATCAGACCTCTACAGCCAGACACCCCTTGGCTCAGGCCCCTCTAGCCTAGACTGTCCTTTCACCCCACCCAATCTCCCCTCTTACACACACTCCTGATCCCCTACCTGATCTTTGGTCCTGCCTTCTCTTTCACGGATGTGAGTAGTAACAATCCTCTCCATCTCCTCACGCAGATGAGGGTACTGGCTAAGCTGCAGGAGAGAGAAAACACGTGCACATGGGAAAGGGAGGTATAAAGGGGGGAGCAGCCCCCCACATGTATGCATGCATACACCCTGCAATCAGATATTTTGAAGGGAAGTTCTAGAACACTGGACTTGCAGACAGATTTTTTTCCAAGTTCCTGGAGGTCTGCTGGGGGCAAAGTTCATTCCTTATTGCTTTGAGCTTCAGAGAAAAGCTCTTGTCACTCTTGCAGCAACCTTTCTGCCTCACCAGAGGCCTGCTCTAAACCCACCATTCTTCCTGGCATAAGGCTTTTGACAAACCCCAGATGTAAACGCACTGCTTATTGCTTGTTGGGTTCTTCCTATTAAAGTGAACAATTTCTCTAGATGTTCAGCATCTCACTGTAGTACGCTAAGTAGGTGAATGGCCTGTTGCTACAACCTTCTAAATCCTATGGGAAGTATCCCTGGGAAATGAAGTGGATTTCAATCCCCATTTGCTGAGGCACGAAGTGAAAGCATCTGGTGCTCTCCATCAACATCTGCAAGCAGAGACAGCGGATCTGACCAACTCAAGGGCACATGTCTTCAAGAAACACTGTGCTCTGGGCATCCAGCTGCTTCTACCTGCTCTCCACCTGTGTTGGGGCAGGATTACATAGCTGAGGTCTGTATTCACATCACACCTACACCACACTTTTTGCCACATTACTCGGGAGGGATTCCTTTCCTGCCCAGACAGAGAAGTAGAAGGACTTTACTAGCTGTGGTTCAAAAGAAGAGTATCTACATACATGAGAAACTTCCATAATCAGCACCCTTAAAGCCCTCTGGGTTTCACACAGCACCTACCTACCTGCCTAGATTCATGAGCCTCTAGTGATTTCAATAGCAGTAACTGTATGCTTCTCAGGTCAGGCCCAGCACAGTCAAATGAAATTAATCCTCCAGACACTGGATCTAGCCCTTCCTTCCCCACTTTGCCTATCCCATGTGAAATCATTTCCTCCATATTTTTTTAATATTACCTCCAATTCAACTATAATATCAAACAGCATTTCCTAATATCAGTCTTTTATACCCCCTCAAGGGGGTGTATTAAAAAAAAAAAGAAATCTCATTTGCCTATGATCTGTACTGCATTTGGGTTTTTCTCTCCAATTTACATGGGAGCTGCTTCTTAAACTGGTTTGCCTTTTCTTCTGTATATAGAAGCAATTATAACATGTTAGAAGGAGCTGGCTCAAAGCATGCAGCATCACTACTGGAAGCCAGATCCCACACTAACCAGCAGCAATATTCCTAACATCTGATTACAAATAGTCTCAAACACTTTCAGCACCCTTGCAGTCAAGCAAGTTGTAATAGCCTGGAACTGAAATTGAGGACTAGCTTCGACACTGCCTGTTTTCAAATGTGTGGTTTGTTTTGAATGCTAATTACTCTACAGAGGCAGGAAAAAACAAGTAGAATTAGTGTTCCCCACCACCACCTTGTCTGGAAGCACAAACTGGGTGTTCTCCATGATCTTTATGGTTCAGGCAGCTGGTTGCTTCAGAGACACACAGGCAAAGCTTCCTGTTTCCTTTGGGGGGTGTTGGCAAAGGATAGATGGGCAAGTTATATCAAACAGAAAAACAGGAAGTTGGAAAACCTCTAAGCAAGTCTCAGCTTCTTTGCTTCAAATTAAAAAAAACCAACAAACAAAAACCAGTCAACAAAAATACATCAAACCTCCCACCACCACCCCCCTCCCAACTAGTACAAATGCACACAAAGTGCAAAACAAGTTGTGGTTTATTCAGAACCCAGGTCATCCAGAAACAATAATGTGCAAAAATAAATTGACAGCATCAGTCCCCATGCAGGAGCTTCCAACCCCAAGCATGCACAGGAGAAGCAAGGGTGGGCAAGGAAAGAGGACACAAACAAGCCACAGGATGTCACACCACCAGAGAACATGCAATAGGGCATAGAGGGGCAAGGAGTTATCACCAGCAGTACAAACAGCACCCAGAAATGCCATGACTGAAAGACAGGAGAGCAGGTGACCCTTCAAGGGGTTAAGTCCATCAGCCTGGGATCATGTCCCAGCTCAAGTGGGTTTTCAATCCTGTTTTAGCTGCATTTGCCTGTTTAATCAAAATACAAGCTTACAGCCCTCTTTGAAAACCAATTTGTCCCAGTGTTCCTCAGTTCCCCTCTCTTTGCAGATTCCAGGAGTCCTTGCCAGCACACGAAAGATCAACCTTTAGCTGAAGGGCTGCTGACTTGCAAGACTTTCCTGCACTTGTGAAATGCTGCAGTGCAGTCTGGCACAGAAGGTTCCTGCTTTTGGAAAAACACTAGCTAGAACATTATCCTCCTAAACATAAGGGCTTACATGCTTACACCAGCTTTCCGTTGATTTTGGAGCTACTCTCCATTTAACCAACTGGAAGAAGGCTCAGAATCAGGCCAGTCAGGGAACAGCTGTTAATGGCTACCTTCTCTTCAGCCCTCAACTTTGTCTAATAGTCAAGAGATAGTCAACTGCAAATCTCTTTTCGTACAGGAAGGCTGTACCTCTGCAGATAACAGATGGGTTTGCCGCCTTCTATGTTCTTTATTGATAGTCTCATTATTCTATCTATGCAGCTTTATCAACTGCACGTACAAAGATTTCTTCACCATCTGGGGTGAAATAATTGTGACAGCACACAAACAATAACACACAGTAGTTCAGGACAGCAACAAACCAAGGCTACAGGACTGTTAAGCTAATTCAAGAGGTGTTAGCCCAAGTGGTCTTCCTTTCAAAAAGCTTTGCAGGACCAGTCCACAACCCAGTGGGCTGGGTATTACCTTACAGTTAGCATCAGTCCTAAAGTAGCCTTTTCCAGATGCCTCCCCCAATAGCACATGCTCTTGCCCATATCAAGCAGTTAGGGCTATAACATGCAAGATAAATATCACAAATCAACTAATGTCCCTGTGCAGTTACTGCCCTTTGCCTTATGCCATCAGAACGCATCTCAGGCTGGCTGCTATCCTAAAGTGGTCTACAGCAGTTAGCTTCTACTCTTTCAGAGGGAGATACAGGCAAGATTAAGCTTCTCACTACATGTAGGCATTTGACTTTAAGCATTAGTAAAACTTTCCTTTTATTTGCCAGTACTATTACTACATATCTTCATTCAGGCAGTTATTTCTCATCTCTAACATCTGCCTCCCTTGCCTTCCCAACTTTTATTACAGCCATTAGTCTCCTGCAATATCACTGCTACCATCACCTTCCTTACACGTTGTATCTTGGGTTGCATCACCTCAGAACATCCTCACAGGGTCCTCTACCATGTCATGGATTAAAATACACAGAGCAAGTGGATATCCAGCCACTCTAATGATGTGGTCCAACAGAGAAACTGGAATTTAACACCCTTGAGATTTTAATGTTCCTTCTCCCTCTCCACCCAGATAGAGAAAACACTGTAAGCAAACGCATCAAAATAAAAAAATCCACAAGAGAAACAGGCTGGATAGGAGTCATTATGCCTTGCCACATCAGCCCCACACTCTGGCAATACCAGGACTCTGCAAGAAATTGATTGGGCAGAGCTCAGGGCACATCAAAATGTCTCCTTAACACAGGTGGCAGTGAGCTCTGTATTCCTAAGTACAACCAGACCTTATTAGCTCAGCTCTCGCCTTCACTCTGAACTTGTATCAATTCTTATCTTCCCTTCCTTCCCAATTTAGGGGTATACGTTGACGCGTCTGGCTGTAACCCTGGAAGAAGGGAATTGTAATTTTCAAGTCCTAAAATAACTCATGAAACAGCCCTTTCCAACTCGGTTTCCAGAACATACATCCCTTGTGCCACAGACAAGTTTCTGCCCCTCATCGGTAAGTGTTAACACTAATTGCCACATCTACCTTTTTTTTTTTTTTTTTTTTAGGGGGGATGGGGTGCCCCCTCCTGGAGGAAACCAGCCTGGGAAAGAAACCCACTCCCGCCCCAGCCTCTAAGCAGTATTTGACACAGTCTGTGTCATTCAGGGCAGTTTCTGTCTCCACCTGCTGCTGTCCTGTGCTAGCCTAAGGCTTCACCTCCTGTGCTTCACAGCATACAAGGAAAAGTATCCACACTACCTCCTACTGAGCAGAGTCGATGGAGCAAGAGATCAGCAGGAGAATGATGCAGAGGATGTAATGCCTGGAAAAGCTTTTCCCCAAGCCTTTTGGGACAGTAATCTTCTGTTGACTCCAAATATCTCTTGCAGAACATCTTGCACCTCAAACTTTTAAATCAACCGTTGTTTTGTATATGCTACTGCTCAACACAGCTCTGCAGACGAGATGAAACCTGCAGACCACTCATGCTGTGGGGCTGTGAGGTCTTTTTTTGGCTTTTTATATTTTTCTAGACTATCTAGATTTTTTTAAGGGGGTCCCAGAAAAAGAAAGTTCCAAATGCACAGGCAGTGGCACAGCAAACAGGGCTTGCAAAGGGCTTGATCCACACTGAGGTGAATGCCAGTGAACCAGACAGAGGAAACAGGTATGCTAGAGTAATCCACTGGATCCCAACTCACTTCCCAGCTAAAGAGCCCATCAGCTGATGCCCACTTCTCTTGGCCTGCTTTTAAACTGCTCTTATACCTGCAGGTTGCTGCTCTCCTTTAGATGCATCTTTATATCCATTTTCTCTCACTAGGTTTCCTGGAGTTCCTGGGGGGTGTGTGGAGAAACAGCATGGAAGTGTGTGGGAAGGGGTTGGGCATTGACCTTTCTTTGCATTTTTTGTTTCTTTACCTTTTCGCTACACTTTCTGATGGTGGATGTGAGCTCACTCACTACCATATCCACACACTTCAGACTTGGCTCCTTCAACTTCTGCACCTGCTTTTTCACTATGGCTTCAAAAGCGAGGTCAGGCGTGAAGAGACCCGTTCTGCATGGCAGGGGCAGGGTGGGAGGAAGCAACGAGGAAGAAGAAAGCAAAGCAGAGAAAGAGCAGGAAGGAGGAGGAAAGAGAAGGAAGGAAAAGGGAAAAGAGAGAAAACACAAGGCAAAATGAGAAGTGATATTTTGGTTCATTCCATTAGTTTATTGAACCAGGTGAGTATTGCTATGGGGCCTGTGCACTGCCAAGTATCAGGAGAGTCTACAGGCAAATGGAAGTGGCAAAGGGGAATGAGGTAGGAACAGCTGGGCCAGTGAAATGGTGAGCTGTCAAGAGCAAGATGAATGGATGGAACCCCCCAGGGATCAGGTGATCTCTTCCTGAAGGAAAGCTTCTTTGGATTTTAAGACAAAGTTGCTTCCCACAGTGAGCCACTGCCTCTCTTCCTAGAGGCTCACCATGTCTCATTTCCCTTTGTCTCAGGCATTCCCTTTTCCTTCCCACCACAGTTATCTCCCCTTCATGTTTTCCTTATTCCAGCTGCAGGAAGCCTGAACAGGAGCCAAGCTAAAACTTGCAAAGGTCTGTCACTTGCATCTTGATTTGGCAGAACTGAACTGCATTGATACCTCTCAGTTCCAGGGACTGAGATAAACTGCTCCAATTATGGAGCATCTTTCATCTCACCTTCCCTGCAACATTAACTTTCTCAGTAAGAGCAGATGTACCCAGTATTTAGGGAAATGCAAACATGCTACAGAGAATCCATAGCTATACATAGCATGCATTCTGCCATCGCTAACCTGCAGCATCAGACCCAATACAGGCCTGTTGAGGTTTATAAGGAAATATTAATTTCCACTGATACTAAGTGGCCTGTATTCTCAGTGGCTCCACTGTGGAATAGCAGAAAGTCCACAAACTAAAGTTACTATAATACGGCCAAGATTAATCCAATTCAAGACTACTGCACCCAAAGGAGTTTTTCAGCCCATCTTTAACAGTTCAGAGCTTTGATGCTCTTTGTCACGCAATCTGAGTCACTTGTTTTAGCATGGGGCATTACTGCTTTGCAAGTGCTTTCAGGGGGACAACATCCCCTTGACATGGGAAGGGGATACTGCCTTTCTAAAGATACAGTTACAGTCAAACCTGGGGTGCCTACAGCTAACAACCAATCCAGGGCTAACTGTAAATAACCACCACCTCATTTAAATCAGTTATTTCCCCCTTCACCTCATCTTTCACATCTCTGTGGATAACACCTGCAAGACCCCAAGCAACACCAGTATTAAAACACTCTTCAACACATATTACACAGGACCTACAACTAGTCTGCTTTTTAAGCAGCAAAGAGTTGGAATATGTTACAGGATTCAGCTTTACCCAAGGGTCTCTCAAGGTGCCAACAATGCCCCTTTTGAGCAAAGCAAGGGCATTTCCAGAATTAAGTTCACATCCTCTGACTCAGCAGCAGCTTCCTACTAATCCAGTTGCCCTGCTAAGCTCAATATACACTGTTTCCCCCAACAGACTTCGAAGCCTCTGCACAAAAAAAATATTTAAAAAAAATCAGCTCCTTCCAGTACCTGAGGATCACCTGAATTACAATATTTTGTTTCTTCAGATACAAAATTGTAACCATGGCTACAAGAACACACAGAGCAACTAACACTGAATTCAATTATCCAATTCTTAGCAATAGGATCTAAGCTAAAGTGGAATGCTTTAATCCTGAATCTGTGACATTTCCCCCCATCCCTGTGGTCTCTTCTCCTCCCTTATTTCCCACCCTGCTGTACCCACCACCTCATCACTTGAGGAACCTGCCACTGTCAGAATAGATAGTCTATTCTGAAATTATCAGTAGAAGAGGAAACAAAAAGAAACAATGAAGAAAGAAGTGGGAAATGGAGGGAAGGATGCAAACAAAGAATGAATGAGATTCTGAATAGCAACTGATGGATGGAGAACAAATCAAGAGAAGCTTCAGAGGGCATGAAAAAGGAGGGCCCTTCTGATCCAGTTAGCAGGCGACTCTGGATACTTGGCAGCCCGAGGGCCTGTGCTTACCTGTCGCCAGGCTCTAATGGCAATTTTCTGGGTGCTCCCCACAGTCACACACCCCAAGAGAGGACAGCAGGACAGAAAAAGGAAGCTCCTCCAGCACTCTAGACACCTGAGCAATCTCTCACTGCATCCACTTTGCTTTCCCAGACTGTCCTGGGGGGCAAAGCATGTGCCTGCATGCCTGAGCCCTTCTATAGAGGCTCTTGGCCCTAAGGACTACGCATTTCTGCAAGTATCACCACTTGGGCACCTTTCCCTACCCTTGCAGAGACAGGGTGTCGGTCTCTCCAGGCACATCCTGCAATGCCCATTTACCTGCACCTAAACAGCCAATGGTGATTCCAGTCTCCAGTGCCCATTCCACCATCCTAACTGAGGTGCCTTTTCACCAACACCTAGCCCTGCCTGAAGCAGCAAGCCATGGCTGAGAGGAATGGCACAAGTCTTCTCATTTTGCTGCCTTTCATCCCCAACCTCAGAAACAAAAGCTGCCATATCCAACAGGCAGAATCAAGGCAGGTTCCCTCCCTCAACCCCAACAAATACCAGTACGGATCCCAAAGGGCAAAACCTGAATCCCTGTCTGAGAGAGCAGGAGGACCCCAGACATTGATGGACATTTCTAACTTGATTCTTCTCAGCCATGTGCCGCTCTTCCAGAACAGGATATGGACCAAGCCAACCAGAAACCAAGCCAAACACCACAGGAACATTTCCCTGCAATACAGCCCACAGCTGTAACTGCTGCAGCCTCTGAAGTTCAGCCCCATACACTCCCCCAGCAGCACCCAAAGACTAGTTTGGGATCAACTATGTCACTTCTACAAGAACAGATGGGACAGAATTTAAATCCCAGTTTCTGGCCTGGAAAATAAACCCAGATACTAACTTTAGTCAAATGTGGCCACATAAGAAATACCCTTGGTTTTAGAAGGAATCAGGAGTCACGCTAAAGAGAGAGGGGTGGCAGGGACACCTCCAGCACCCCTCAACTCTAAAACATTCAGGGAGCAGGACCATGACCCATGTCCCACAGCGCTTCCCTTCCTGTTTGGCTTGTTGGCTGGATCGCCCCAGGCTGGTACTGTTCAGGTCTAGTCATGCTGAGGAGGTGGTTAGAAACACCGAGTGTGGCTGCAGGCAAGTCCCTGCCCAGGTTACAATGCTGTGCCGAAGCCAGCGAGCGGGTGGGAAGGTGCCAGCTCCATGCTGCCTCTGGTTACCTTCTTGGTGCACTGTCTAACGGTATTGATTAACTCCGAAATGACCATGTCCACGCATTTCAGGCAAGGTTCTTTAATCTTCTTCACCTGCTTTTTCACAATGGTCTCAAAGGCCATGTCAGGTGTGAAGAGACCGGTTCTAAACACCCAGGGTGGGGACAAGACAAGGCAGGAGGGGGAGAAGGGGCAAGGAGAATGTCACAGCGTTACACACACATCTTGGAGCAGGCACCGCCATCACTGAAACCCGGCACGCGGGGCTGGGAAGTGTCATGTTCCCCAGACAAGCCCTGATTGGAGTCCATGGAAAATGAGGGATGCTTGGCACCTCCCAGGAAGGAGGTGTGAGAGCAAAATGCATCCTAGCTGGACAGCCACAGCCACCACCATTTCACCTCAATCACCAGGCCTAAGGGTGGCAGGGGCTGACCCCTCCGCAGCATATTTGACCTCAGAGTTGTGCAGCAGATGGGAAGCCTTTTCTGAAAGATTTTTCTTAATGATTAGGACACTAACACATTTGATACTCTTTATCAAGCTCAGCTAGTGACTGAGCAAAAGAAAGGAATGAAAATAAATCTAGGTCAGTATTTGTTCACATCCCAGTGGGCAGGAAGGGCTCCGAGAGGCACCAGACCCCACTCACCTTCCCAGGAGCAGCATGACTTGGTCTCAGGGCTGTGCTTTGACAGCTAACCTCCTGAGGGCTGAGGGCAACACAAGCCTGTTTGCTAACTACATCCTGGGGCCATTGGGATCCTGGTGACAGGCACCCCAGTGCTCCCTCAAATCTCTAGGGGAGGAGGTGCTCAGCACCAACAACTGTTTTGAACAACTAACTGTTGGTTAGTATGCAGGCAGAAAGTGAAAACCAACATTTTAATTTTAACTAAATGAAGGAGTAGTATGGGCTTGCATCCCTCTTTCTATCCTTTCTTATGTCAAGACACAAGGAGGGAGAAAATGTCTAGTTACCAAGGCAGTTTTACCTTTTAGGCCTCTGCAACTCTGACATGGGAAGAGAAAGCAAACTGACTTGGATGATTGTCCCTACTCCCAGATTCAAGCCTCCAGGGTGGTCCAAGGACATTAGCCCTCCCCTTTGGGTGACCTACCGTACCTCTGAAGTCTTCAACTCCATTTGGAAGGTCTAGAGGTATTTACAAGGCTATGCAGCCAATGGTCTGCCTAGTGTGTGATACGTGCCTGATACCATGGATGTTCTTGATGGCATAGCTAATCTCCCGCCGCAGCTCCTTCTCATCAAACTCCATCTGCACCAAGAGAGAATTTTATCAGAAACTGTCTGACACTTATTTGCACAACCCCAGGATACACAACAGCATGCTTTACAGAGAAGAGGTCCCATGCCAGCAGTATCATGTGACAGATGAGATATTAGCCCAAGTGTTGGATACAGAGTCCAGCCATAAAGCTTCTATTGCCAACGCAGACATCCTGGACAAATATGAATAGCCAAGGGCCTACATTTATGGATGCCAAGACCCAGCAGCTCCCAAGGAGCTTCTTTGAGATAAAGCAATAGGACTGAAGTGCTAGGCCGCTTTTTAAAACAAACTGTTTTGTCTCCCACGATTTAGCATGAGGTCTTGGCAGCTGTTTTTTCAGTGAACACCACAAATAGATTTACAATTCACATACAAAAATGTATTATCCAATACAAGGCAGGCTCTTGTATTTCACTAAAAAGGACTCATCTTATTCAAATGCAAAAAAGAAGCAAAATGCAGAAAATCCAGGAGCTGAATGATTTGGCTCTTGAGTCTGTTCCAACTGACATTAAAAAAAGTTTTTCCGTACCACTTCTGATCAGGTTCATGTACTTTGCCATCCAAGAAAACTATCATTCAATAAAAATCCTCTTCAGCTGTTATGATAGTAGAACAGTTTCTGTTCACTTATAAGGTACAGACAGAAGTAATGTCAGGTATATCTACATCCTCTTTCCTGCTTCTTGCGTATCTGTTAGGGCAACTTTACATCTAGTCCAGTGCTCAGGATCAAGGAAGTACAAATTTCAGCACCATTCGTACTATGCGAAATTCAGTCAAAGTAGCTTTGACACAACATATCTGCAAGGACATTCAGTCATTCATTTACTATTGTTTGTGTTAAAGGAAGTTATTTTGCACATTTAATTTAGCATTTAGGAATTAAGCCAAAGAACTTTCTCTTAGTTAAATGACAATATTTAAGTTCTGTCACAAGGACAGGGACTGAGGAAAAGGTCAGTACTATGGGAAGGCTCCAATAAAGGAGACGAAATAAGCAAAAAAGGTGGTAAAAGGAAAAACATGAAACAAAGTAGTCAAAAGGGAAAGAGAGATGATGAAATATACCAAGAGGAGTAAGGAGACAGACAGAAGAGGTAACACACAAGACAACAAAGTGGATCTCAGCAGCACAGGAAAGCAGTACCTTCACCAGTTCAAAGGGGAAACGCTCATGGAAGATGCGGTTAATCCTAGCTCCTCCTGACAGCTCATAGGTATCAATTTGGTCTCCAGAGCCTTCAATGCGTTTCTCAAAGTCCACGGCAAACTGCTGGACCATCCTGAAAGAAAACAAAAAGCATGAAGTGTAAGTCATGGCTGAGCAGTCATCTCCAGGGAGGGACATACAGCTGAGGCCACTTACTGAAGCAGAGCTTTGGTCTTGCGAGCAGGGTCATCAGGGCGAAAGTTCTTGTACTCCTCCACCTCCTTCTCAATGGAGAGAAGCTGGCTTTGGAGCTTGTTCCGCAGCCCTGGCAGGGTGTCACGGATGTGGTTGGTCAATTGCTGCACAAGAAGAAGGTTTAAGATTATAAACCTCTAGGTGGTTACTGGGAAGAGTTTGCTACCTCCACACCACAAAATAAAGAGGAATGCTCCTCTCTTCTGTGTTCAATCCTTCTGAGTGGTCCTAACAAAAAGTCTATCCCAGGACAAACACCAGTTACAAGCTGGGTGCATCCTGCCTCTCAGGCTCCTACCTATTGCACCCCTCTATTCTTGACTTTCATTTTACCTTCTAGTCTGGTACAAAACTCCCATTCATACAAGCCTGCTGTCTCTAACCCAAGAATAAGCTTCACATAAAAGTATTAGCATTTGCTATTTACACCAGGGAAAAGGCTATTCTGTCTTCAGCTTAGCACACCACTGACACCCAAGGTGGTGGTTAGGCCCTTTTTCAACAATAAGGATGACAAGGCAAGGTGGAAGGAGCTAAAACCACTGAGGAGGCTCCAATAAGAGGGTTTCCACAGAGCACCGCTGTGGAAAAGTCCAGTTTAAAGATGAATATTTAAATAAGGAGGAAAAAGGACAAAGTAATTCTTCACTTAAGGGAGTATTTCAAGGGAGCAGAGAGGGAAGCAACAATAAGTTGCTACTGTATGAGACAAGAGATAAGAGAGCCTTAATAGATGGGAAAATGACTACCAGTATCACATTTAAATCAATCTTTGCAGCTTACCATTAGGTACAGAGACCACTAGAAACTTGAAAGGTATCTTTTAGCTTAATCAGAAAGACCTTGCATTCTGATAGTGTAAATGCCATGAACCACCTATTGATTTTGCACCAGCACCACTGAGAGGATAAAGAAGTGCTCTGCTTTTGGTGTGTAAGCTCCATTATTGGCTTTAATGTGTTTCATTGTATCAGTATTATACAAGTCAGGCACACTTCATTGGACTTGGCCCCAAAATGCTTTTTATGATGCAGAGAAGGAAGAGTTAACCAATCTTCACAAGTCTCACTGCAGCAAAACAATTTAACTTATTTGTCAGTTTGTTGACCACAAGTTGTAGCTTTTCCTGTATTCTTCCATCTCAGAAATGCCCTGATGGCCAGCCTAGCCATTCTTATGACATAGTGGGCAGCAGTTCTTAACTGTTGACAGTACCTGGTTCAATACTTTCTGCAGGTACGGGGTTCCCATGCGATCAGCCATGTGTCTGTAGGCCGGGTGGGAGAGAAAAAATTTTCTCTCTGCAGCCAGAGCTGCCTGAATGTCCTTCTTGCCATCAATGTCCTTCTGACTTCTGTTGACTACACCAATGTAACCTGTAACAGTGGTGTTAGAGATCAGATGGTTGCAAGGATGAGAATGTAAACAGGACTCAGAAGGAAGTTACCCAGCTGGCAGCACTGCAAAAGGGGAATTCTAGTGGCAACACATTATTAGGAACCAATTGGAAGAGTTTAAAACTAGAATTTCCTCTGAATAGCACAGGTTCTGGTATTTTGGTATGCAGGACAAAAATGACTATGCAACTGAGAATTAGCTTATTTATTACTGTTCCCCCAATCACAAAGCATACCCTAGTCTCATTCATTTGAGACTTCTGTTAAAGTCCTTAGGATAGGTACTTCACTATGGCTATACACAGCACGTACCACAGTCCAAAATTATTTCATCTGATATACTATGGCAATCTCATGTAGATAAAAGATGAGGGGAGTCTTTTAGACAGGAGTTCCATTTTTGCAGCTTGCCTTATTAAAAGAAGGAAAGAGATAGTAAAGATAAGAGCATAAGGCTATGTTTCTGCTAGGACTACATATCAAGATACAAATATCTAAAAAGTTCCTATTAACAGCATGACTGATCCCTGTTCCCCAGGGATCCATCCCACCTTGGAACAGAGATGGCTTAACCACAAGCTGTAACAGATGCTGCAGGAAGGGGATGCACTGGAAGAAGGGGATGAGGCCAGGACACCTCACACAGGGAAAAGACAGAAAGGAGACCATGGACAAAGCATGAGGAAACATACCTCTACGAAGAGGAAGTAATTTATTTTCTAATACATCTCGTGCATCAGTTCCTTCATCCATAAGATCCAGCTTAGTGATAACTCCAATAGTGCGTTGCCCTACAGAAAAAAAACAAACATACTTGATCAAACAACTCGTAGTATTTTCTTCTGTTCACAAAGCTTACAGATTCTCCAACTTGGCTACTCAAGGGCTCTTGAACTCCAACATTACAGTTCCCATCATGTCCAAGAGGCCATGAGAGCAAAACAAACAATAATTGAGCTCAGTTCTCAGTTATATCCTGCTGAAACATACACATGCTATGCCACATCTGCTGTGTAGATTTTAGTGAGGGATTTTAGTGCAGATTTTCCTACTTTTCTCCAGGAAGAATGCAGATGACTAAGGGAAAGGAAATCCTTTGCCTCTTCAGAAATGGGGCTCAGACAAAGGAAGAAAAGGAGAATAATAAAAATTCTGTTACAGTAACTGTTAACACTCACTAACACCTCTCAGAAGAATGTGTGTTGGTGGAGATACAACCCAAGACAACAGACAGGAGCCCACAGCTACTGGGCTAATCACAACCAAAAGGTAAAAGGAAGATCAGGCCACTGTCCAGCAATGTCATGCTAAATTAAAAGATATTTACCTTGAGGATCCACCTCCTTTGCAACCTTCAGGGCATCAGAATTGGCCAAATCAGAGTTGGCTGGGGATACTGCCAGGATGAGACAATTCTCTTTGGTGACAAACTGCATAAGCATATCTCGGATCTGAAACTCGATGTCAGGGGGCTGGTCCCCCACTGGGACTTTTGTCATACCCGGTAGATCCACCAAGGTCAGGTTCAGGACTAGACACAGGAAACAGGAGATAGCACAAGGGAGTGTTGAGGTTGGAATATTCTGGTCTGTAAGTACCACCTGTAGCTTTAATGTCTCCAATATATAACAGGCATAACAGATGCACACACAGAAGCACACAGAGCTTTCTAGTTCCTGTGTTACTGCTTAGTAAGAACTACTTGCTAGTTGTTACTAGTCATGATTGTCAATGATCTCATCACCCTTCCCTCTAAGTCACTTGTTTTGGCACTGATCAGGGAAACTGTGCCCTCAAAGTCCTAACATATATGCTACACTGAAAGGGAAGGGATGACAGTACATTTTTTTACTTTATAATAAAGACTGGAGAGTCAGAAGAGTTGGTTCCACTCATTAAGAGTTGTCCCCAGTATTGAAGAGCTCAGTCCTGCCACCCTTATTCAAGGGAGGCTCCTGTCAAAGTCAGCTGGGCCTTCTCCTGAAGGACTACAATATGCAGCCCTATAACTTTTTAATTGTCTTGCTGAGATAAAAAATTAAAACTAAACATCAAGCACAAGTTCTACGCAGCCAAATGCTATGTAGCACTGAGCTGCTGCTTTCCAAAAAAATGCCCATATAGCTGTTCACATTTAAAGAGCTGGCAAATTCGGGACTATGTCACTCCGTTGTTCAAGCAGAATTCTTCCACTGAGATCAGCGTCATATGACGTAAGGACTGCCTGGAGAGAACTATACAAAGTACATATTCACATGCAAACAGAAGGCAAGTGCTCTTCAGGAAAGCCACTCTCCCCATCATTTTTTTTGTTGTTGTTCCATTTATTTGCCCAGTAAAGCAGTACCAGAAAGCAGGGAGAGACAGCAGCTCTTCACTGTAATGCCTATACTAATGGAAAAGAACAGCCCCAGGAACAAGTTTCTGCACAGACATCAGTTGTTTCAAGGAGAAGTTCTGCTAGCAGTCAGATACTTCAGCTGGCAGACAAACCCGTTGCAGCAGTATGGTTAAGGCTGGCAGTTTGATACAGCATGGCACATGGAGATTAATGTCAAAACCAAGTACGCTCCCCATTTCATTTCTGTTCCTTTTGTCTTTAGTTCATGACAAAGCAGCAACCTGCCTCATCTATCTCCTGACTCAGATGCTACATTAGGGCTCACCATGGGGAGAGTAGACTCGAAGATTGATGGGCACAGGAGAAATCCCTTTGTTGGAGCCAGTAACACGATCTGTTTCAGCCTCAATCTCCAAACGGACCTCCTCAAAATCAGTGAATTTCTTTCCTTTGCAGTGTAGGAACTCACCATATTCTATTTAAACAGAAGCAGAGAATCAGAAACAGTCAATGAAATCGGAGAAACACTCAAAGTGTAATGAAAACATCATGTCCTGAAGCAAAACAAACCAAAAAACAGTTGCAGGGATTCAGTCTGGCAAGGGCCTTTCCCACTAGGACCTGGAAAGTTGGCATAGAAGTTACTGCAGTCACATTATCTGATCAACATCTGAGAGGATTCAGCTGAACCCAACACATTCACAATCCAGCTTTTGTCTCGGCAGAGGTGGCATCCTTGCTTGTCTTCATTCAAGTAATAATCCAGGACCTTCACTGTTGATAGTATGCAAACTTAGCATGCACCAGCCTGCAGCAGTGGTGACTTCCACAGCTACACTGGGAGATACCCTGGTATTCAGGAGAACTTGGACTAGCTCTGTATTAAAGTGCTGGGGGTTAATAACAGTCTCATTACATAATGAGAACAGACTCGAGAGGCTCAAGAGAAAAAAAATCCAACCTCCTCTTGACATGGTTTTGAATTCACTGGTGGTTGGGGGTTTTGTGTGTCAGTCCTTAAGTAGGCTAACCAATCCAAAAACTCTGTTTCAATTTTAAATTTTAAAAGCCTCCTAAAAGTCAAATTGTCTCCTTACTGTAGACAAGAGGATAGATCAAGTTCACCTGGGAAGCGGAGTACCTTGAAACATTCACTTGCCAACTCCTGGGTAAGACCTTAATTTATGTTAAGGGGAATGGTAATGAAAACATCCAGCAAGTAAGCAGCAAAACCAGTGAAGAACTGCCCAAAAGACAAGCCACAGAACTCTGTAGTCTTTCTTCTCCAGATCCCAGCGTTCTCCCACTGGGTTTTCAGTACATTAAATCACCTTGCCCCCTTATTTCAGTAGATTACCAGCAGGGTCATCTGGCTTTTAGGTCTTACCCACACATAAGAGTCACAGCTGCATAGGCAAAGGAAAATTGCGATAAGTGTGTGCATGGAGCCTTGCCTAATAAATTAAAACAAAAAACTAAGAAGCATTTAGCTTCTTAAGACTTTATGCATCAGATGTTAAACAGGTAGAACGGAAAAATCAGCTGCAGGTCATTTTTACTGGGGAAAATTCTTATTTATTTTTTCCACACTGAGCAGTGCCGCTGATCAAATAAGACCTTTCTTGACTAAGACAGCAATCCAGCTGGACACACAGGGAAGGTAGCTCACATACCTGTGCTGGCGTTTACCAGCTGCAGGACCAGCGGGCGTCTGGTTACGATGCCAGATCCACGTGGCAGAAAGTCCCTGAAATGAAGCAGGAAGTTTCAGATAAGTGAATGATTGTTTCCTTCCCTTTTCATAGCTTTTCTGCTTCTATAAGTATACATGGATTCTAACAGGGAGTCTCAGCCAGGGGCACAAAAAAGTTTGAGGCACTAAAAGCCAAGTGCTCCTCCTCAAGGAGCATAAGAGCTTGCTGTTCTGAAGAAGCCTATAGTCACAGCACACCCCCTCTAATCCTGTCTGTTAACAGCTACAGCTCCTTCAGCTGAAGTTCCAAGCTAACTAACAAGCCCATCTAATACAGCTGCCTGTACTTTGGAAAAAATTAAACTCTTTCATCAGAAAGAAAAGAGAAGTTGAAGCAGAGCCCAAAAACTAGCATGCCTCCTTTTGACAAAATACAATTACCCAAACTACAACAATCACTCACACTCTGCACTTCAGGGCTTGAGAAGACACCACATTGTTCCAGTGTGCAAACACCATATGATACATCTGAAAGAATAAACAGCAGCCAAAGGCTTGCCTCCACCCAGGGTTTCCCCTGGCTAACTACTCAAGACATAAGTAGTGCCAAGGCAAAAGCAGGAGCAGCTTCCTTCTATATCCACAAGAATCCTGAATTTGTGGACTTCAAATAATTTCAAAGGAAGGAAGCCTTTTACTATCCTTCTCCAAATGCTGACTTAGCAGCCACAGCCCACAAGTTCTCCTTTGCTTTTTCTTTTTCCAAATCCAAGTGCTTTGAGAAAGGCTAGGCGTGCTCACTGCATCTGCTGATGACCTTGCTAGTTTGTGGCCTGGTTTTCAAATACTCAGCTGTTCATGTGGCTCTTCAAGAGCCACTGAGCATTTCTGAAAACATGAACGATTGCTTCCTTGCCTAGTGGGAGAAGCATCACTTCAAAACATGGTTCCTACAGCATGAATATAGTTTTCTTTGTTAAAATAAGTCCTACCTAGATTGTTTGGATTCTGGCACACAATCCTCCCTCCCTTGATAGCTGTGGCAATGAATAATTTTGCTAATTCAGTAGTGACTAACTACTTCAGTGAATGAGAAATCCAGGGCCCTCCATTTTGAGCATCTCGCTCTTAGTCCTGCATGAGCTTAATACTGACAAAGGAAGTGCAGATGAGGAATGAGCTCTTGCTTTAACACATTAGACAAGGACTTAGCAGTTTTGTTTCGCTACTGGTTTGGCCACTGATTTCCTATGTAATCCTATGCAAGTTATTCTACTTCTCTGTATTTCACTTTCCTCAGCTATAAAGGTAATTCTCCATCTGTGGGGCTATCAGAATAACTTGATAATATCAAAAACTGCAGAGCAGTTTCAAGTGAAGGGAGACCAAGGAGGCATTCTACAATCACTAACACCTCAAATAAAAGTATCTCCTCTAAGTCTGGAGTAATGGGACCTCTGGTACCACTCTACCAGTTAAAGTAAGATCATAACCCATTCTCATTATTTCAGACTTTTCAGTAGTATAAAGAGTTAACCAGGGTTTGTCTTTCATTTGTTTTTCAAATAATACAGCTCTAGTTTTTCCATTCCAGTGGGATTAACCCTGGAATCTTTGAGGCATTGCATCATTCTAGCAGCTTTCTGCTGTCTCAGCTCTATTCCTATAGATGTCTGTGGTCAATATGTGAAAAAGTCCTACCCTAGCATCAGTTTTTAGCATAACAAATCCATCTGAGCTGCACTGACTTATTTTGAACTTACTGTACCTGAGAAAAAGGTATCCTATTACTATAGATTCCTCTTCTAGCATATTCAGACAACACTCTAGCTATTGATCTCCAACTTGCACTATTAAATCCTGCTTTACTGGAGGAAAAGCACCACTTGCATTTAGAAGAATGAGCGCTCTAGGAATTAAGATTCCACTCACATTGTGCTCCATGTTTTCCTGAAGCCTTCTACTTTGGCCAAGATCCTGATTTCTCTGCTGTCCTTGTCACAGCTACAAAGGTAAAAACTTAGGACAAAGGTAGATGGAAAACCTATGTGGCATCTGGGTTCCAGCATTATAAAAAAAAAAAAAATGATCCGATATATTGTGTTAACTGAGTAGCTCCTAGGCTATTCCAAGGAAAAAACACTAAGTCCTCATAGAAGACAAGATGACAAATCCATTAGCCAAATCTAGTTACCTAAATCAACAATCTTAGTGCTGCTTTAATTCGGAGTGAAAATATGTACAATCTCATCTCTAATATGAGAAAATTAATGTGTGTTCTTATCCACAAACTATTGGGGGTACATGCCATTCAACTTTTAAGTTTTCTCTATGCTTGACTCCTCTCAGGTGTTACAGTCAAAGAGCTTCATAAAAAAAAAAAAAAAACAATTGATGCGGTATCACCCCATTGTATCTATATTATTTCCTATTCTTTTATTCACCTCCTTTCTCTCTATAGTCTCTGGGACAAACTCCTTCCTCCTTCTGCTCCAGCTAAGCCTTTCAAATCTTAGACACTAAAAAGTACAGATTAGTAAATTCTGTGGCAAGCTGGCTGGGTGCCATGGAGAAGGCAGTGTACCAGTGTTGCCTGCCCTCTTGCAGTAGGCATAATACATTGCTTCTGTAAATAAACTACAACAACAGAGCATGTGTGACATGGACAACATGCCCAGCCCAGGTTTTGAGGAGCCAGGGGAAAGATCTACACACACACCTATTGCTCCAGAAAGAGCAGCACAAAGTGATGAAATTAAGGCAGAATCAGGGAAGCAATATATTGAGATAAGAACAACCACATGCCAGATGACTTCGGTAGACAAGAGCAGAAGGGTTAGATAAACTGGCTTATTCAATTCCAGTACAGGAGATGTACAGTAGCAAAGGAGGGGGGAAACAGATGGAGTAAGTCTTCAGAGATAACATGCTGTAAGGCTCAGAGTGCTGGAACAAGGGCAGCAGGGATTCCACTTGTAAGACAAGGCAGCCTCTAGCATGACATCAAAAGCAGCCTCATTACATACATCGCTATACAAGACTATGTGCCTGAAATAGGTTATTCAGTTAGGTTGAGGGCACCAACCCCCTGTTTTCCTCCTTCACTTTGTATCTTAGGAACTTAAAATTACTTTTTTTGTTGCTTTGTAACATGCAGAAGTGGCATGACAACATTTGATTTCCTATGCTTTTAAGGAATACCACAACATGCCACTTCCTCAGGCTAGACTTCATCAGCAAACACAGCAAAGTAGCAGCTAAAACAGACAGAGAAACTGTATTCAGGGAATAGAAATACTTAATTTGCTTGTATCTTTTTTGCTTAGCTATTCACTCAAAATTCCCTATCAAGATATTGAGGTATCAGTTTTAGCAATGCAATTCCAAGCATTTTATCAGAGTTGGAAAACTTGGAACAGCTACATTCCCCAAACTGTCAGTTATTGGAAGGCTTATTTATACGTATTTCACACTCATCTTTTCTTAACTACTGTCAGAGAGAGGATATTGAGCTATGTAAATTTTTGGTCTGACCAGCAATAGCTCTCCTGTTCTAAACCAAGACAACAAAAAGAACCAAGGATGCAAACCCTGATGGGTCTCCAGCTGAAAGTGACCTGAAAAGACATTTATTGTTACATTTTACATAGCTTATTTCTGAAGTGCTTACACATGTTCTCAACTAGCTTCACAGCTACCTCAGGGCAAACCCAATCACATCATCCCTTCCAGTCTTATTTCTATTTTAGTATGTAGAGCTGCATTAAAGTACAGATTTGGGCTGAAAGCTGCATTAAGAACACAACAGTAAAAAAAAAATTGAGGGATGATAAACAATCTAGCAGTTACTATAGAGCAACATTCGAACAAAATCCAAACACATTGGAAACATATTAAGGCAATCGATGTCATGCAACAATACATTTATAATCAGGGCACTGAGGACTTGGGCTTTCCCTACTAGTTTTTTAAACCTAAGACAGACACTCAATACAGAAACCTCCATGCATTAGGCATCTTGGAATCCTACAGGTGCTATTAATTACAGAAAAAGCACATCTGCTCTATAAACAAGTTTGAGTTCAATTAATGACTTGCACAGTACAGAGGTTAAGAAGTTAAAGGTAACTTGGACCAAAGATATTTTCCCCTAGACTATTTATAAGACACAGGAGATCGACAAACTGCTTGTATAATTCAACATGTATTCTATGGAAAGTGAAGAAAAACATTGATAGATGCAGTCAAAAAAAGAAGTAGGACAGATACCCGTATGAAAAGTTTGGGACTTCCTGAAGAGGCACTCACTGAAACTTTCAGACAAGTTTCTTGTGTTTATTCATTGCTACTACATTGAAGAAAATGTGACTGTCTCCATTAAAAGAAGAGACTTGTATGAGCTGGTTTGCTGCAGTAGGGCCACATTTGCTCCTAAAGAACACACACAATTTGCTGGTCAAAAAAATACTTGTTTACTCCTTTGGTCAGACACTTTAACTTGATCTGATGTTTTCTTGTTAAACAAGAGATAACTAGATCTTTGGAGTAAGAACTAGTCTTTCAGCATGTCAGTGATCATTATGGGCATATTGTGCCTGGTTCACCCACTTTGTTAGAATAAATGCTCTCAAACCTGACAAACACAAGAGAAAAAAGTGATTGCATGAGCAAGTCTGTCCCTTCACGCTTTGCTAGAAGTGGTTAGCTCACTGTTTTAGGTTTGTGCTCTAAGGCTTAGAGATTCCCCACAACAGTTACAGCGGCATTTAATTCCAGCAATATAGCATTTGCAGGTAACCAGCCTGTGATCTTGTAGCCATGACATTCAGTAATGGCAACCATAACTTCCTAACAGTGAAGGAAGGTAACATACTAGTAGCATCCCTATGTGTCGGCTCAGACTGCAACTGCTTCTCAATAGCTACTCTTCCACTGCAAGCATGAGCACTGTGCATTTCCTCCATTAAATTCAAGCGGAAAAGCCCCTCTGCTGGCCATCTCCTTTGCACTACATATAGACACTGTCTACTTTTTTGCAGCTCATTGCTTTAATATGAGGGCCCCTGAGGTTTGTCAAAAGATCACTATGTAGTACTGACCAAGACATTTA